AGCCCTTTTCTCACCTTGGGGGAAAAGGTTTTTCATTCTATTCCTGTTTCTCGTTCTGAGAGCTCCCTTTATGGCACTTACTCTGCGGTTTTAGAAGTGTGCAGGTTGCTGCACTAAAATTTTGGTATTGTGCAGCCACTACAAGGGCCTTTTGTACCTTGGTAAGGACCAAAGCGGCAAGGCCTGCAAAGTACTGCTTTGCTTTCATGCTACAAGGCTGGAAGATCTGTGCTGCCTGGCTAAGAGCAAGGTTTGTTGTCGTCGTTGTTTTGAAGAGGGATGTTTTCTGATGCTCTGGCTAAATACAGGCACTTAGACCCACAGTTATTTATAAACATTGTCCACCAGCTATCCAGTCTTTTACTTCAATAACTGTAACCCTCAAAAACAAGTCTTCAAAGCCAACAGATGCTCCATTTCATTTGGAGGGTTTAATTCAATCACCTTGATCCCAGTTTTGTGACCAATTGGCATTCTGTCTCACATGCTCTAACCACATTGATCCCAATTTCCTCAGTGGCAGGATCCCAATCAGTACTATTTACCTTGTCTAGACACAAGGCAGAGATCCATCGATAACTTGCAACCGAAACCTGAAAAGAAAACAGAAGGGCAATGTCTTATTTGAGCCTTAAGCAGAAGATTAAATTTTTTCTGCAACCTTTCCCTCACAGATGTTATAACTAACACTGTTTCACATAGAGCAGCCTTTCTACCTGTGCCATCCAGATGGTTTTAACTCCAGTTCCCATGGTCCCCCTGCTGCTGGCTAGGATGGCTGGGGTTTATAGGAACTGGAGACTAAAATCATCTGGATGGATCTAGGTGGGCACAGAAGACCTTATCTGCCAGCACCACTGTTTTAAGTAAGAAAGTTGAGTAGGTGCCTAAGGTACTCTGTTTCTGTCTTTGTAAATCATTGGCCCGGATTCGTGTTATAAGCATGAAAGTTCAGTCCTATCTAGAGAGCCGTGGAAAGAAAGTGTTAATTGGTTTTTTTGCATTGGTCGTGTTCTTATCATATTTCCCAACGGAAGAATTTTGTTTCAAATTAAGAAGTGACCTTCCCCCCCCTCTCCCCATATTAGGAAGAAAAATATTTGTGTGACTCCAGAAGTCCACACGCCAAAACTTTGCAATAAAGTGTCTCTTGTATATTTGTCATTCATTACAAATAAATAAACTTAAGAGTTTTTGAAAGAAAAAATTTGTAATGATGGAATAAAAAGCTTTAACAACTGGGACAATCTGTATAAATAAATGTTTAAAACTAGAATTCTCTAGGATTCTGGACGTCTTGCTGTGTAACTTTTTGTGGTTCACTTTCCTTCTTTTCCTTTGACTTGAGGGCAGAAGCAGGGCAGAGAAATAATTTTTATTCACTTCAGAAAGGTTACAGTAATAAAGAAACTCTTGTTAACATCAGAGAGCATGGCAGCCAAGAGGTTTCACAGTCTAGCATTGTTTGTTTTACCAGAAATTTGGAACCTTCTGCACTCTTAAAATATTGGCAAGAAAATATTTAACTGTTTGTGGCAAGCATGAGTGTGACAGTATTTCAAGGCTAAATCTGAAACTTCCAGATACAATGTTAAAACATAAAAGGCACACCAAGGATATAGGGAGACATGGTAACCTGAGATTGAATGAGAATGAGATGACATAAAAATGTGTTTTGAACTCCAAAAGATGCATGCAAACTTTAATATAGTGGCTGTCTTTGAACATAAGAGAGAACAAAATGCTCTTCAGCGTTGTGCCTCCAGTGCAGCCAGGAGCAAATCAGAAGCTTATCTACATTGGTAGTACATCTGAACACTAGGCTGTGGTAATTTTAATTGTGTTTATTGAACTTAGTTGAAGCTGGCTTGTTTTGAGAGGCCATAGTTAAAGAGTAATGACAATTTGTCCAGGCTCAGAGCTAAGAACAAACAATCGCAACACAATACCAATTTTCTTATAGCCAGTTAAGAATAGAAGAGGACAATATGCCTCTGACAGATACTGAAGAATTATAATTGATTGTTTCATCCAAATACAATTACAGTATAGAGTCCCTTGCAGATATCTCTTGTGTATATGGATCTCATACAGCAGGAGTGGGTAAGCTCCAGGGGTTGGGGAGCCACAATAGCCCACCTCAGGATGCTAGAGGACTGTACCCAGCCAGGATGCCACTGTGTTTTAGACCTGGAAGTCTTCTTCAAGACAAGAACTGCCCTCCAATCATTTCCTGGTTTGCAAAGAAAAAAATCATCATGTTCCTAGAACAGGCTCAGCATTCCCCACCACACTAACACGAAAATCACATGCTGATTGCACCCATTGGAACTCTCAGGGAGCACAATTAGCCATTGATGTGGCCAACATTTCCCCCCCCCGGGTGTGAGAGAGCAGGGGTAAGATGCGATCTGTAGGTTTAAGGTTGCACTGACAGGCTGCTTTGGTACCAAGCAGCACTCCCTCCATTTACATTTTTAAATGAGTACTATTGAATATCTTAGGCTGAGAGACTTGGAGCATTCTAATTCTCTGCACATTTACCTAATACTAAATCATGTTGAACTCACTTCGGTATGTATGTCTAGGCGTTGCAAAGTTTAGACTTGCAGCAGTAGTAACCGTAAGAAGTATTTCTTACTCCCTGATACATGCCTACATTTTTACATTATGGGATTGTGATACAACTTTTATTTAGCCCCATTCAGTTACCTTTTAGGGACCCTAACCCCTTTGTTGTTGCTTGCTCCTCCTACAGTTAATACACTGCTCTGAATTGAGACAAATACTGGGGTACTGATAGTTTAAAGTTTGTTCATTGGCAAAGGTGTCAGGGAGTTTAACTTGTAGAAGACATCCAGTGGCTATTAGTAGTGTTAGCACTGAGTAGCAAGTTGAAATTTGCTAACACCCTTGACACTTGAGACAGGCTTATAGTCAGTGAGATCATTACTGTTGAAAACCAGGTGTTGAGATTTGCCAGTGCTGGGAAGACAGGATTGAGAAAAGACTGTTTCTAAAGAGCCCTTCTTTAAGTTTATTTACTTATTTTAATGAGACGGTGTTTCTCTAGTATTAACCAGTTTCCTCTATATACCCTGATAGCCCTGTTAAAAATGTGATGTTATCCAGGATACTGCCCCCTCTTTCGATGCAAGAGTCATATTTTTATTTACAGCCATGTTTGTTTAGCTTTGTTATCTCCTTATTAATCTCCTTCTTAAAGCTCCTGCTTTTTGCTTTTATATAGTGAGCTGCTCCCTTAGGGATGCAAAGTCCAGGACTTCTCCCTGTAATGGTGCTGTTTATTTTCTTTGCCCCCTTGCAATTGCCTGCTGTAACATTTGTAGTATGTGTTAAGTAATCCTTAAGGTAACATTTTTATTATGTCATAAAAAGTGCATGGCAAATATATTATAACTCATGGAATTTGTTTGTTTTAAAAATGGAAGGATAATTTATTGAGTGTGTTACATGAGAGCTGCTCCCCTTATTAGAGTATAGAAATGCTGCTTATTTAGGAGTATGTTCTATTGAGAAAAGCCATGGTCTCTGACATGCCTAGAAAGAACAAGCCTGGTTGGCTGAAAATGACATCATAGTTTATGTACTCAATAAAAATTTAATTAAGTCATTACAGAGGTTGCAGTCACCGTTTAACCCTGTGATTTCTTCTATTTAGCACTTTTTCATTAAACATTCAGTAATAGCCCAGTGACCAAATTTGATGGCCTATAAAATAAATGCATGAATTTTAATAGTTTATATAAATGGAAAAATATGAGTAACTAACATAAAAGAACTTTTGCCTTGTGATTCTACTGTATGCATGTATTATAAAAATAAAGTTATGAAGGACAGCAATTTAATTGAAGACTATATATGAGGCATAGGTTTGATAGTATGACATGAACTAATTAGCTGTTTGAGGGGGAAATTATTACAAGGCCGTAACCGCAGTGCTATATGCATATTAATAGAGCTTTGATGAGATCATTGATGAAGCAGTTCTGGCCTGTTTTGTCAAAGTATTCAGATTTGTGTATGGTGTTATTTGTGGCTTTCCTTTGTGGAGCAGATTTTGCAACTGATGGGCCAGCATGCTGTCTCGGAGGCTTAACATTTAAATCCTGCATTTTGTTTGTCTTTCTCCCAGAGTCCTGCTCTTCAGCCTGTTGTGTCCCAGAATGCTGCTCTGTTTATGCTTGCATTCAGTTGGACTGTTTGTGGGACGTTTTCCTGATACTTGGTGTAGAATTTCCTGTGCTAAAGTACCATGTACCCAGTGTAGGTTTAGCACCACTGAAGAGTAGGAACTGTGTCCTGAAACAGCTGTTTTCCACATTATTTCGGTATTTTATAACATGGTATATTTTTGTTGGTGCATTGCAAAGGTATGCAGATTTTGATGTCTGAACATCCACCTCGTCTCTTTTACGTCTTTAGGTGGAATTGTTAAGTTCAAAAATACTGTTCCCTTCTTCCTGCCACCAAGGTTATACTTGGGCTCCATCTAGAAGTAGTGAATACAGTGGTGCCTCGCAGAACAAAAAACTCGGAAGACAAATGGTTTTGGTGATTGGGTTGATGACTCGCAAGACAAATGTTCCTATGGCCGCGCTTTGCAAGAAGAATGTTTTCCGTTTTTTGTTCCTGCCTCATGTTTGCTGATTTTTAAATGTGTTTCTATGATGTTTAAAAAGTTAAAGTTTTTTGATTGAAATTTTTGAAATCATATGCACAATATGTATGGCTTTCAAGAGCACTTAATAAACACTTCGTAAACCAAATCTGATTTTGTTCTGACATTTTTTGCCAACAGGAACGCATTGGGAAAACGCGTTTCGCAACACAAATTTTTCGCAAGACAACATTAACCACAGAACAAATTAAATTCGTCTTGTGAGGCACCACTGTATAGGTGTTTGACATTGCTCTTGCCACTAACTTCTCCAGTACAATCACTGACTCAAAGTTCGTAACTGCTGCTTTATTTTTAGATTGATTCCTATGAGATGAAAAAAAGTGTGAAAGCCATGGTACAAAATTTCTATGCATCTATTTTTGGATATGATGAGGTAATATCCTTTTATCATCCTTTTTGCCATCCTTTCATCATCCTTTCTGTCATCTTTATATCCATCTGTTTTAATTTATTACTAGTTACTATATCTGTTGAATGTTTGTATTGTTTTATTCTTACTGTGTTTTAATAATGTGTTGTTTGTTTTGTTGTAGTTAGCCGCCCAGAGTGGCCTGGCTGCCAGATGGTGCGGGGTATAAATCTAATAAATAAAATAATATAATAAATAAATACTAACATATGTTTAGCGCTGTGTAGATATACAAGACAAACATCTGGGGGATGGGACTTGTATTATATATACTCCATAATATTGACCTTTTTTCTTTTGATTTACCTACTGAATCTCCCAAGGAAAGTTAACTTCTATATATTTGCTTATCTTGTCCAAATATATTATATTTCTGCCCATGGCTATGATAGAGATGAAATTAGTGAGTGGGTTGTGGCCATAAGTGAGAATAAGTGTGTTTCATGTGTTAACTTAATCATAGGTGGCCATTTTAGGGAGTTGTACGAAGCACAGCCGTTTGCCCAAGTTTTTTTTTACTTTTTTTAAAATTTTATTTTATTTTAAGAACAGTCCCTTGATCTTCACCCCTTACACTACCGAATTCTACTCGGACCGAGTTTTCTTTTAAATTTTATCAGATATTGAATGCAAACTTTCAGACCTGTCTTGTTAGGCGTAAGAGACAGAAGATTTCTTTTTTCCTTGCAAATATATTCTGTGATGCCTTGTTTTCTCCTGTGCATGAAAAGGTAGTGAAAGTGGAATTGTTTTGCAACTGCTGTGATTTAAGACTTTGAGATACATCAGCTTAGGATGAAACCACTTTCTGTTTGCGTTTATGTATTCCCAATTGGCTGTATTTCCCACTTCATTTTAGGGAATCCTCTCAGATGATCATGTGCTTGCAGGAGCTCTCTGGAGAAATCTCTTCAGTAGAAACTGTGATGATCCAAGGATGTTGGAAATAATGGTAGAATATGTGCGCAAACAGGTAAGCAATTCTTTGGAATATGAGTACTTTTACGGCCTCTGAAATAATTAAAAGGTTGCATTTGCTTTACAGTGGTGCCCCGCTTCACAATGACCCTGTTGGATGACGAAATTGCTTTACGATTAGTTTTTTGAGTCGCAAAACGACAAATCAAGGGGATTTTTCATTTTACGTTGAATTGGTCCCTTCTTCAGGAACCAATTTTTCGCTTCACGGCAATCAAAAAAAGCTGATCGTCAGGTTTTCAAAATGGCCGCCCGCTGTTTTACAGACCTATTTCCAGAAGACAGCGATCGAAAATGGCTTCCCCTATGGAGGATCTTCGCTTTACGATGAGGTATTTTGCCCATTGGAACGCATTAACCGGTTTTTAATACATTCCAATGGGTTTTTTACTTTCGCTTGACGATGATATCACTTAACAGCAATTTTAATGGAACGGATTATCGTCGTCAAGCAGGGCACCACTGTATTTTTAGAAGTCTGACCTATCTCCCCAGTACAAGTGCCAATTTTGGTGATGTTTCAATATATAGGTTAAAAATCTTTATTTGACCATACATTTACTGATGTTGATATTCCTTACTTATTGAAACTATTTGGTTTTGCTTTTAATTTTTGTATCATATTTTATTTTTTTAATAAAATTTTTGCTCAGCACCTTTTGACAAGGAAGGGCAATACATATATTTTTCCCAGCAACAGGGAATAACAATAACCTTCCAAACAGAGCTGTAGGAAGATGGTCTCCCTGCCCCATCCTATTTTCTTTCTGCCCTGAGTCCGTTTGTCTTCTGCAGCCTAACTTAAACCATAGAGCTGTTATAATAAAATGAGCAAATCTTTATGTGTGCTACCAGGAGCATATTAGAGGAAGGCTGGGAGGTCAAATATATTCTTTCATTACTTATTGACTGTTTTCCGCTTGGTGGGCACTGAGCAACGTCAAGAATCGTAGCCACGTAAGTTATTTTAAATGGTCATCATTGATCAGTCACCAAACAGTTGCTACATTATTTGCAAAATACGCAAAGATAAGAAACCCTTTTTCTAGGATAATCACATGTCTTCTATCACTCTGGGGAGCACTGCTTCTAAACACACTGTTTAATGTCTCTTTTAATTTTCCCTCCAAAGTGTCCAAAGTAAAAGCTAGTTATAGAGTGTGCTTTCCAGTTATTAAGGTATCCATATGCCTTTTATATATTTGTTGTCCTCAGTGTGAGTTAGAAAAAGCCAATAGCATTTTAACTAGGAATAGCTAACTGATTAAATTTAATCTTAATATTATTTTTGTCACTTTATATGAGGATGTTTGGTAAAATGCCATCAAATTTGGTTAGACAGTTTCTTTCCTAACATGTAGATTTTAATTTCCTAAATCTAAAATAGATTTTAAAGTTCTTGTATGCATGCATGCCAGTGTTGGTTAGGGCAACATAAGTCTTGAATTTCATGCTGATATTTGGTTTGTACATGGTAATCACCTTTTAAAGATTCAAAGTAGCCTAGTTTGCAAAAGTATAATGGCTGGAGATGTTTTCATGTAAAATAAAGCCTTATTAAATTCACATTATTTTCCTTCCTTAACCCTTACAGTGATCCAGCCCATTCATAGACACTTATAATTTCTTAGGGTTTAAGATATCTATACACTAGGCCCTAAGGACTGATAGCCACTGAGCTTAGTGAAATGTATTTATTGGCAAACATGCATAGGACTGAATTGATGTTCGGTCACTGACAAATTCAGATCCATAGACTGTATATGAGGCTGGATGTGGCATGAGATATGCAGTATTGCTCATGCAATGAGATTCCCTGACTCCTTCTCCCATACACCCAAAGCCATTCCTGAGGAAGGTGTTAGGGTGGGACACAAGATAACTAGAATTTGACAGTGCTGCCTTTTGCATACAGAAGTGTCTTTCTGCACACATGCAGGTCATTGCCACATCAATGCCATTGTTAGGGGTAAATCTGTTTTAATGTTGTGGGCAAAGAGGTACTCACGTGTGCATAAATAACCTTGAGACACTTTCAGGACCTTGTAAGTTGACATGTGACCTGGGGCCACGCCCTGGGATCTATTTACTCATTGCAGGCCAGAATTCATCCTTTTTAGCTCCAAATTACAGAACAGCTTAATTCAAAAAGCTACATGTTATATATTGCCCTTTATGTGGCCTTGTCTTTTACGAATACTGTACAGTATAATTGCTTTCTTGCTCTCATGTAATATGAAACGCTGTAAGATATAAGACATCTCCACTTTTCTCACTTCTGACAGTCAGACTTTTCATGGGATAAATCACTCATGATTAATATCTCTGTGAGTCACATTATTCTGTTATGAATCTCAGATGCAGCATCTGGATGCTATGCCAGGAGAAGACCTGCTGCTGTCTGGTGAAGTGACATGGCGCCCCCTTGTGGAAACTAATGCACAGAGCATTGTGAAGCCTGCTTTACCAACATACAATGATGCAGGACTCTGAAATCTTCCATCAGCCGCCTCAGAACTTTTTTTGCTGCTGTGTGTTTTATCTGTATGTGGACCAGTTCCTGAAAGTGGGAGTTGATATATACTGTATATGGTCAAGAGAGAAATAAATAAATGCTTTAGTTGCTATTTGAAGAACAATTAAAACTCCCTTATTTTCATTACTTTATCTTAGTAATCAGAATGACCTGGAATTTTTTCATATTCTATCTGTAGTTGAATGCAGCTAGTTCATTGTCGAGCAGTGTTAATGATCTGGTTTTCAGAGGGAACTTCTTTTTTGAAAGCAATATAGTTTACCAAAGTGACAAGTAAGCTGCCTTTTGTCTAGAAAGAGGAAAGAAGTTTACCAAATGTTATAACTCTCTGGTTTGTGAAAATCACTAGCATAGTCTTTCTCTACAAGTATTATGTATCTCAGAGCACATGAGAGATTTGAAATGCAAAACTTGAAGAATGGCTTTCTAAAAGGATTGCCTGTGACCCAATCTAAAATAGGTTGGAACTGATGTAGTGGACAAGGGTGTTGGGGAGAACAGAGGGAGGAAACCACTGAAGACCAGTGGATTTATTTCAGTATGAGCTTTCGTGGATTAAAATCCACTTCCTCAGATAGGAGTACAAAGACATGTCCCGAGTGTAGTTTTCTTGCTTGTCTCGGCAGCACAGACTCAAAACTTGTATGTTAATGACACCACCAGAGACTGTTTGAGAGTCAAACGAGAGATGACTATTAAATGCATAGATGTATATAAATTACAGATTTTTTTAAAAAAATGCAAATAGCATTTACACCTTTGGATGAGAGTGATAATTATGCATCTAGACACTGTCTAGAGGGGCGGGGTAAAAATCAAATAAATAAATAAATAATTTTTTCCTGCTGTGATCAGGAAGGAGACTCTTGTCATGAAACTGATATTTATGTTGTCAAAGGGGAGTTGGAAATTCCTTAGTGGTACTAACTGAGTCTTTCCTCCGAAAACAATAGATCTTCCAAAAAAAAGGGACTTATTCAGAATCACAGCAATTGTCAGGCTTCCACTGAGCAGAATGATTTGCCAGCATACTAATGCAGAATTGCACTGCTTGCACAAGTGCTGCTTTGGGGTAAATGACTATCTGAGAAAACCTCCCCTCTGCTTGTGCAACAGCACCTTTTGCATAGACAGAATGACCCAATGTTACTGCACTGATAGAACTTTCTCTCCAGCTGAAGCTCAACACAATACAGGCCTTAACCTTCTAACTCAGATTGATACAATTGGCGGTTTTTAAAATGTGCATTTATTGAACTCAACACACGTTCAGTGCCATTGTTAAGTTTGGCCCTGAAACTGTACCTAGAAACCACTTTTCAGCCTGCTATTGTTGTCTTTTGGGTATGGTTTGAAAACTTGGAGTATGAGTAATATTTCTTGTTCAGGGATTTGTTTTCATCAGCTTATTTGCTTTTTAAAATAGTGGCTCAGGTAACTAACTGTGTAGCTAACAGTTTGATCAGGTGATAGAGCTTCTAACCTGCTCCTCACTGAGTAGAGGTGTGCAGATTTATACGCTTGGACTACCATTCCCAGAATAGGTGCTTGGGAAATTCTGGGAATTATAGTCCGAAAACACAAATCTGTACAATGTCTTTCACTGAGAAGCTAGCTTTGCACATGTTATATCAAGAGTGTTAATACACAATTCCTTTTTAGAAGCAGAACTTTTCTCTCCCTTTATCAGAAACGTAACCTAAGATGCAATCCTCTTGTTTGCTTACTATGTAATGCCTTTGCTGAAATGTTGGAGAGTAGTTCTCCATAAACTTAGGGTCTGATCCTAATAAATGTACTGAAAACAATATGTAGATGCCTTTCATTTTGGTTTGCATGTATTTGTGCATCACTTCCTTGTTTGACCATGGCTGTGCATGTGTTCCTCTCCTCTTTTTTTCTTACTGTCCCCAAAAGTGGTCAGGAAATTGTTGTACTGAATTTTCTGTGGTGGCAAGAGACTGGAAAAGATTATCTTTGCCTCCTTTTCAAATTCCATGATTTAATCTTTCGTGATGTTCAAAGAGATTAAGATATGATCTCCAGCACCCAATCATAGTCTTTGCCAAGTGGATTAAGACAACCATTCTTATATATTGAGATTCATGTGAATGAATTCATTTTAGTGCTCTTTCTTCCAAGTGGAGCTCATGTGAATGAATTGTGTAGAAAATTCATTTTAGTGCTCTTTCTTCCAAGTGGAGATGGCTAAATGAAAGATTGTATCTTGCCTAAGAGGTAGAAAAAGTTCAGAAGCTGGTTTCAGCAGAAGCCTTCTGCTGGCTCTTGTCCTGTTCTTCTTCAACTGAAACCTTTATCTAAAACACTAAATTGAAGTGGAAGTACAGTATCTATATTAATGGAGATACCCTATTACATTATATTAATGATAATTAAACCCTAGCATTGCATGATGAGATTTTCAATCTCTCTTTTTTGACGCACCAGATCAGAGTTATTATACACAGATATTTATATGAACAAACTGCCAATCTGCTGTGTTGTTGCAGAGGGAAGTTTAAAAAGAGCCAGAATTTCCAGAGGAAAGCACTAAGCATATGTAGGAAATGTGAGGAAAATTAGTGCTCGTTCATTAGGGGACAATACAACAATGAAAATACATCATGATTGCTGCTCTGGACATACCCTGAGAGTGGTTTCCTCTAGGAACAACTACCAGTCAATTTTCTTTGTACCAAAAAAAGTCTATTCGTTATTCTTTCCCAAACCAAACTTCCTCAGTTTAAGTTGTTATAAAATGAGTCGCATAAAGAAACTTTATGTGTGTGAGGTATATTCCACTTCTGTGAAAACATTACGAACCAAACATTTTTTCTCAGTTTATTTAAGATGCTTTTGTTGCAAGCTGAGCTAAGGAGAGAAACCTCTTATGTGTGAAGTATTATGTAGTGAATGTGTGAGATAATAACACCTTGTAATTCATTACAGCTGTGTTGTATTTACATAAAAGAAGGCTTAGCTGTGTAGGAATTTGCTGATTAATTTATTTTTAATGGGAATGAAGTATACTGAGGACCAAAATAAACTTTACTGTGTGTATCTTGCTGCTCCTGGAATAGATGGAAAATGTAATGGTAGGTATTTTGGCACAAAACTAAATACATTAATTCATATTCAAAATACTCATTTAAACATTAACTCCTCTCCATCCAGGACACTTGTGTCACCTTGCAGTGCTATGGAAGTACTGCAGCACCACCAGTCAACATGGTTGCGGGCCTTGGCCACACTAGTGTGAGAAGTTTTTTATGCACTGGCTATGAAAAGCCTACAATCTTGAAGCCTACTCCATACCACGGGACCATGTGGAGCCCAAGGGACCCTAACCTTGGGGCAGTTAATACTATTGGTTTTAGATATTTGCAGGAATATTTGAACATTTCACATTATAAATAAATAAAAAGGGGTGGAAGTTCTGAATGTATTACAGTCCCTTCCCACCAGCCCTGGATAATAGTGACACATGCTGATCTGCAGGGGGGAAAAGGTCAAAATGAAGGTTAACTATTATTAGAATTATCCCTGTGCTCTCAATGTACAGTTGTGAGCTAGAAAAAGAGATACAATATTAGGATGCAGGCAGCACTTTATGGGCTGACTGTAAGATAAAGATGCTTAAATTAGTTGAAAATACTGTTGTGGGAGCAGGGCTGACTTGCCTGTTGTGAATATGTGGTCAAGGTTTACTGTAAGTTGGCTGATTTTTAGAGGCCCTGCTGTGATGCAAGCTGTTGTTATTGCCTTTAAATAAAAAGTGGGTGGCAGATCAGCTGAAGGGGAAGGGGATGTAGTCAACTTCTTATGCCAAACAAGATGTTGTATAGGAAACAGAGTAGAATGGTCAAACCTACGAATAGATGATTTGCAGGGAAAAGAGAGCTGTTTGTGTGGGAATGCTGACAGAACATAAGCCGCATTTGAATTGGTGGCATGTTCTCTGGTTCCCATCCCTGCCCTAATACTTTAAAAAAACACTCCAGTATCCTTTTAACCTGGTCTGGTCAAGAAGAGTTCCAAGTGGAAATGCTGCATATGAATTGAAGTGTGTTTAATGCTTTGAAAGACATGTAAAAGGCTAAGGCTGGGATCCAAAGATCTGCCTGATTAGAGAAGCACACGAATAAATTACTGGCTCTTTCTTCTTATCCTGCTCTCTAGCTTGTTCTGCTTCCTGAAAACTGTTTGCGAGTTCCTCCAGAGCATCCTGCCAGCTTCCAAGAAAGGCGGAAGAGTGATACACACCTGGTGCTTTGCATAAACAGACATGCTTGTGTAAGTAGGCTCCTAGATGCAAGCCCAGGTTTCAAAATATCTTCAAAGCAGCAATAAGCATATTTGGGACAACAGTACCTAGAGAGACTAGCCAGGTGGTTCTCTAACACCGGGGGCGCAAATCATAGCTGAAACATGATTTTACTTAGGCAAACACCTCTGACTTAATTTCATTAGAACAGAAGCTGAGGTTCACTGTGAGGGCATCTAAAATAAAGACTGTAATACACTTGGCACATTAGAAGTACTCTGCATTATTTGTTATCTGGAACAAACAACTATAATTATTGCTTAAAGAAGTCTGTTACAACATGTTAAGTTGAGCCTTGTATTTTTGATATGTTTAGTTTACTGCAGCATTCAGGGCCAGTAAAATCAACCACACCTTTGTGCATTCACTACAGAATAATGGCTGCCCGCCTCTACCAAAAAAAAGGGGGGGGGGTTCTCAGATTATTATTTTTTTGCTTACATTTTTATGAGATTATTATCTTATATGTTGGCTGCAAAATGTTCCCTTGTTCAATCAGATACAGTACGCCAAAACTTCCTAAAGTGTGACTAGTTTTGTGTGGGTAAAACCTGGGTGTGACATTTGCTATCAAGAAGTTCCTTGCTGTTTTAAGAGAAAGTGTATAGCTAGCCGATGGTAGTATAATCATAGCATAATGACATGTAAATACTAGTTTTAAACAGCAGTGTATTTCTTGATGAGTCAGAGGGTGTTGCTGAGTTTTGTTCAGGGAATTCTGATCAAGAACTTGCTATCAGAATTGCCATAATCTTGATGGATTCATATCCTTGTCATTTATACCGTACTTTTTAAAGTTGCTGAGTGCCTTTTACAGCCTTTGTCCATCTCTGCAACAACCATGTGAAATTACTTCTTACATTTCATCTATATGACATACTTTGTGGAATCAGCTACATAAAATAATAAATACTGTATCTGACTTACTGTCTTCACAGCTACAGGCACCAGTTTCTGATCACAATTCATGTGATCCAAAAAGCACCTGTTTGTATCTCTACATCTGCATACATTTTCACTTGGAAATAATACTTAGAAAGAAGGAACTCTCAAAATCTTATTTATTTTGTACAATTTATTATAAAAGATAATGAGACAACCTGAGACTCAAAATAATGCACTGAGTGTACATATTCTATTCATTTTATTAGCTCTTCATCTTTCCAGGCACTATAAATTATTATTAAAAGTACACTAGCATATCTTGGTTGCCTTCTTCACTATACTGAAGCCTGTCTGAGATCCTTTTTCTGTAGGACAGATAGTATTTTAAAATATCTGGAAGATATATTTCCAGATTAAAGCGTACGAAACTGCAGGCTAAATTGTTTTGAGTGTTCCCACCTACTGTTAGTCTTTCCTCATGTCTTACTCCTTTAATAAGCTTTCAAAGGAAGTTGATTTCTTAAATATGTGTAACAGGTTGTAATTCATTAATAGATAAAGATACCATGAACTGTTCTAGAAAATAATTTGAGTCAGTTGTCCTAGCAGAACATGAATATACAGGGGGAAGAAAGAAACAGGGCCAAATTGTTCCCTACAGACAAATTCACACAATCAGTAGGCAATTTGATCTGGACTTCCAGCTTGACATTGCGACGAGACAGCAGCAGGAGGACGGAGCGCCGTTCCTTGGGCTGAATTCCAACTTGTTTGGAATCCCCCAGGGGGTTAAAACCAACCCAAAGAGGTGGTGAAATGGGGAGAAGCCTATTGATCATGGGAGGGGGACGGTGGTTACCCCTGTTTAATCCAGAAAACTCCCCAATCAACCAGCAGGCGGAAACAAGCAGCTGAATAGCTCGCTTGCAAGTCGTCTGCAGCCAGCAATAGAGAAGTGATAAATCAGCTAATTAACATCAATGGTATCATTGGGTGAGATATATTTTTACAACTATATTACTTTATGACTATCTCTGGGCGAGACAATCCCTATATACAGAAAGAAGCGTCTCTTATTCTCTCTCCCCCCCCCCCCCCCCCCACTTATTGAGCAGCAGTGAATCAGGAGAGAGGGAAGAGATGCAAAGAAAATAAACTGGACACTAATTAGACATTTAATTATACTTCAAGGAAGGAAGTTTGGTATTACTTTGGCATTACAAAGTCTAATCCTGCCAAAGTGGAATTTTTAAACTGTATCCTGGGTTCTGAACTTGACTCGAGCACAGGCCAGGATAGAATCAGTACTGGAATGGACTGTCTCTGGGGCTTACAAAAGACATCAGGCCATGAATATAAACATTGAGTGAAGCAAGTGTCATTGAACCTCCAAGCGGGAGAAACCCTTTACATCTGAGACTGGATTCAAGTTAAACCCTAAAGATGATCAATCTATTAAAGTGGACCTATGGAAGCAAGTATTGATGGGATTGGACTGATTACTTTAACCAACTTTCACTTGGAATACAATTATTTGATATCTGGGACATAATGCTACAACAAGGAAAATTTGGGGATGAAACAAAATCTACTCTTCAAGC